CCAAGCACCACCGCCACCGCCACCGCCACCGTCACCGTCACCGCCACCCCACCATTACCTCTTCCATAACAATCACCACCATTGCTCCACCACCACCACTGTCGTAGCCATCACCGCTACAGCCACCCCACCAACACCCCCTCCTTGCGACCACCATCCCCACTACCATCACCACCGCTACTGCCACCTTACCACCACTGCCACTGTCCCACCATCAACTCTATCACCACCACCATCATTGTTGCTACTCACGGCTATAACCATCACCAACAGTCGTTGTCACCCACCATAACCAATATTGTCTCCCCCCACTAACACTGTCCCACTCGCCTCACTACAATAGATGCTTAAATTTCTTTCTCTCTCATTTGTCTTTATGATTTGATTTTGGGTGTGAATTGTGTTGTGTGCTTTATCTTAAATATCAATTACTTTGGTATGATTTGTCTCTATGAATATAGATCCATCATTGCCCTTTGCCAAATCCTGGTGACGAAACAATGCCTTCATTTTAATCTTCCATAAACTAAAATTGTTCTGACCATCAAATTTTTCTATCTTTAATTTTGCTACAACCATCCCGAAACCAATAGCTCTAATACCAGTTTTTTTATGAACCAATAGCTCTAATATCTTTAATTTCACTATTAAAGGTTGGAGATTACAAAAAGTTCTCGAAATAAAGGCAACAAGAGAATGTCTATCTGCTATATCATTATTACAAGATTAATAGTGTAAAACCCAGGTAAAATTAGAACTTTTTATAATAAGGGCAAAACAGTAAATTTGCCACTACGGTACGGGTAGTAAACCTGAATTTTTATAGAATTCAGATGACAAAATGGATCTCACCGTTGGATTCACCTCATGAAATTTAGTTACCCTGTCAAATTTCGTCGAATTCTGAGATAATCAAATTTTTTGAGTTTTACGAGGCGGTCGAGTCTCGGATGACCTAAAACAGAAATTTGTAATAAAATTTTGAAAGTTGAAAAATAATTTAAGTCAAGTTAAAATAAAAATATTTTGAACTTGAATCAGGGCGAAAACGGACCGAAAAAAAAAAGAAGGTCGTGTGATGCGTTGTGGGCCAAGTATTCTAAGGCTACAAATAGGGGAAAAATCTGATTTCTCCCCCATTTGATCAGTCGGTNAAAAAAAAAGAAGGTCGTGTGACGCGTTGTGGGCCAAGTATTCTAAGGCTACAAATAAGGGAAAAATCTGATTTCTCCCCCATTTGATCAGCCGCTTTCAACATGAGAAGTGAAGAGAGAGTTCTCACCTTCTCTCTACGATCTACGAAGATTGAGTGATCGAATCAACTCAAGCCAAGAACAAAGACTGTTCTACGCAGCGCTACGAAACTGTACGAAGAATGACAGATTTCACCAAAATTCAAAAAATGAGCTTGAAGAAATCAAGAGTTTTGGGTGAGACTAGGATTCTTGAAGACTTCTACCAAGTGATTTACACTTCAAGAGGTAGGGTTCCCTCCTACTTAAATTTATTTTCTAACCTAGGATGTTATATGCAATGGGTAGGTTAATAGAATTATATATCACTATCAAATTGTTGTGAAATTGATAGAAATGGGTATAAGAAATGTTTTACAATGAATTCCTAGCTTGAAATTGATATGTGGTAGTTGTTTGTGTAATTCCATAAAAATGTGATTTATGGTCATGTTATATGTTTACATTATTACCCTGATGAGTTTAGTGTGTTAACTGCATGATTATGTGATAACATACTTGAAAATTGTGTAAATGAAATAATGATTATATGCATGAGATATGGATTGTCATGGAATATGTATATATGTGGTTAAATTTGTTCATATGACATTCATTACATATGGGGCATGACATGGATATAGCAATTGTGCATTACATTGCATTTGCACGGAAGCATCACAACCATGGGTATGAGAATGAGTGTGTGCATGGTTTAATCAAACACCATACTTGGTGGTTGATGGATGGGCTCAGGAAAGTTGAATTGAAAATCTGACTGAATCGCACGGTTTCATAAAAAACTTGTGTCGGGTATAGAAAGTAGAGCTACACTCTCCCTCGGGTGCAAGACCCGGCTACCTAGTTTGACACTCCCCTAAGGTGAAATTCCAGAAAAATGTAATGGTGTGCGAAACCAGCGGTGCGACTCCGAGAACTCCGCTACCCAACAAAGACACAAGGATTTTATTTTATAAAATATCTGGTTCGTACCCTTCCCTGAGGTGAAATTCCGAAAAAGTGTATTATAAAATAGTCATTCAATATGTAACATCCAACAATAACTTAGTTTTATAACCACATGACTTTATTTCAAATGATCATTGGATGTAATTCATCAATGATGGATTTTTCATACACTGGCATTGCATTGTGCGGTGGGAGCTGGTGAAGGCTCGGGTTCAAGTGCATAAGTGAGTCTCATCTTATTTCATGGCATGAAATGGTAGAATTCTAACATTAAATTGTATATTCTTGTTTGGAATGATTATTTCCGTGTTGAATGTTATATGTGCACATTTCATATGCATCTAGGTTAAGGGAGTAGCCTCTGTAGGAAATACTCTACTGGGCGTGGCTCACCCTTTATGGGAAAATATTTCAAGTGCAGGATTCACACCGGCAAAAGACTCTCATTTCGAGCATCAAAGATGAAGAGCGCTGACTTGTGGCATTTATAACACATTTTGTGTAATTTTTGTGAAAATTATATTTTGGGATGTAAATTCATGTAAATTAATGTAATCGAAATTGTATGGACCTTGTGTTATAAGAAAAATCTCATTAAGCATGTGTTTGGATGGTGGTGAAATGGATTGAAATGGGTTGAAAATCAAAAACAGGTGAAACTGGACAATGTCTACCGGTACAACTTTGTCCAATAGGCAAACTTTACCAGTACGAATTTTCTAGTAGGCAAACCCTACCGCTAGGAATTTTCTAGTAAGCTCACATACCGATAGGCCTTCCAAAAATCTGAAATTTTAAAATTGTTTCACCATGCTTTTGAACTATGGATTCTTTGGTCCCAAGGATATAAATGGATATTAAACGAGTTAAATTATGGTATGTTGGACTTTGGCTGGGTCAAATGGTTAAATGTACACGGGTTACACGTGTGGGGGATGATCCCAGTTAAAGGGATACTATTGACGTGATGTCGGGTTGTGTGACAATCACGGGTACTTCTGCGAATTGGTGGGTGGTCAATAGATGAAAAAAGATCCCAATTTTAGGGGCGTTATAAATAGTGCCAAAAATCTTCTTTAACCAATATTGGCTTTCTCGAAGAAGACCCACAAACAGATAGAGCATACCCAATTTATCACACACCAAATTGTCGTCCTTGTGCTCTTCAATAAAGCTGAACGCGTACTGCCAATATCCAAAAGGAAATGATGTGTCCACCAAAAATTTTACCAAATTTTTGAATCTCAAATGATGATGTTTAGTGATAGTTTGTGGAATCTACTGTACCATTGATTTGGGATTCAAAAGTTGGTAAATAATTTGATGGATGTAGCATTGTTGATATCCAAAAGACTTCTATATGCAAAGAATACTTCATATAGTCAAAGTCTTAATAAATAAGGATGTCTTCATGTATTGACCCAACCAAAATTTTTTCCAATTAAATAATGAAACAAACTTGTATTGAAAGACAACGACTCTTGATCCTTATCCAAAGTGTCCAACTATTTCTTGAACTCTTACTAAGATGGCTTTTAACACAAACACTAATGTCATCAGATTTATTTGGATCCACGAACTTAGAATACAAGTCATCATAGCATGTATATATAGATTATTTTGAAAAATATATATCAAACATTCTTTGCGCTAAGAATTTGATATCACCGATAATTTTTAATTATGGCATTACCAAAATTACATTACAGAGATGCTACGAAGCATAATGATCACCTTAAAGGTCCAAAATATTCCCCAGAACAATGTCATATTTCAGATATGGCATGTCTCCCCTGCTAATTTATCTAGCTGATATTATTTGCTTTTGTGGTTGGAATGATATATGAACTTAATTTGTTGGGGCCTGTTTGTTTGCAGTATTAGATTTGGATGGTATTAGAAATTATTTACATTCCACTCTTATCCAATGGTATACTATATCCGGTCTTAAACTTTTATCTCATTTTTTTCCTTGTTTGTTTGTTCAATAAGTACTACGGTAGGTTCCACAAACAACCATCTATTCTATCACATATTATATAACAAATATACAATTTTACCCTGAACATCATCCATTCCATTCAAAATAATTTTTTTTTAAAAATTTAAAAAAAAAAAGAACCAGTGACACAGTACGCTTAAACATAATACAAGGAAAAAATTTAAAATAATTTTTTTTAAAAAAATCGGTAACACCGTATGCTTAAACATAATATAAAAAAAATTCAAAAAAAATTGTTAACACCGTTCATTTAAACATAATATAAGAAAAAAATTTAAAATAATTTAAAAATAAAAAATAAAAAAAAACCGGTGATATCGTATGCTTATATATAATATACGAAAAAAATTCAAAATAAATTTTTTATATGTAAACTCTTCACATAAGAGGGCATTTGTGTCATTTTATTCTCTTATACCTCCATTTCATTTGTACCAAGAATATAATACAACCGGGTAGGTGGTATTGCTTAGTACCGTATAAAAGGTATAACAGTGACTGTTCACACTGGGTTATTACTATGACCCGAAACATAATACCAATTAAAAAATGTCAAACAAATAAGGTATAAGATGAGCCACATGTACTATTTTCCTAATTCCACCCTTTTATACCACTCTTATCCTTCAACCAAACATGCCCTTGAAGTACTGACCAAGGAATCAATACTCTTACTAGATTGGCTTTTTTTTTTTCTTGTGCATCCTTGATGGATGCTAGCTGTTTGGCCAATGTTGGCTATGAAAATTTCACATAGGAAATTTATATATTTTATTTATTAACTAGAAAAAATTACACTCCCCAGAATTTGAATAACAAAAGTTCTGTGTCTATAAACTGAACAATGGTATAGGTCCATAATTTTCCTGCATCTCAATTACATGGGTGTGTTTGGCTAGTAGGCAAAGGTATGTCTTCTGGGTCTCTTATGGGTTTAACCCACCTGCCATGTTCATTGCATTTTAATCCCTTGTTGGCCGGTTGGTACCAAAAATGAGGAATCCTCAATTCATCCACAAGCATGTCACAGGTCTTGTTCACCAAAGCAACGTCCCTTCTAGCATCAGACCTAAATGTTGAGGTTTTACTGTGGAACCCATCTACTAGATGAAGGTAAGTCTCGAGCATATGGAACCCTGAGACGTTAAATCCGTGTTTGAGATACGGAGAAGAACATATATCAAGCTTCAATTCAGTTCCAACATGTGTGTAAACCCAATCTAGTGTTCCGATTATGTCATCAAACTTCTGTAGGCTTTCATTGAAAACAAGCCCGGGCATGCGAGGGACTAAATCTTGCTTAGCTACAACACGTAGTGTTTTTACTCCCATTTGGTGCAACTCATCTCGAAAAGCTATGTTCCCAACCCTAGGCGCACCGAATGATAAAACGCTAACATGAAGGTCAGGGAGAGAGGAAGCAGCTTCATAAGCAGTGAGGAGAGCCAATGCACCTCCTAGGCTATGTCCAGTGATTGTAAGGGTTACTTCTTCACCTCTTGCATTATAGAATTGCACTAGCCTCTGCACTTCTTTCATAACTTGTTCCGAGGCACTAGACTTGTTGTACCTAGTTGATTCACTTTTAGATTTGTAAATGCTAAGAAACCCATGTTCCACTTTTGCTTCCCCATGCCCAATTGGATCTAACTTCCTTTGAAAATCCTCATACCACTCTGATGGTGACACCGTGCCACGCCATGCCACGACTATATCTCTTCGCCCGATTCGTCTGAACTCATTATCATCACTGACTCCTATGAATCCCATCCAATTTGAGTCTTTGCTCCATTTGTCCACCAAGTGAGACCTCTCAAGCCACCGTGGCAAATCTATATGTGACATAGCATAAATGTACTTAGTCACCTTATAGCCATGCTTATTAAGGCCTAATTTATCAAAAAGTCTATTTTCATTATATCTACAACTCCCACAATACTCCGAGAATGAATCAAAATCGAAGGCATCATACGTTGCTTGTGCGAACTCTCCATATTTCACAATCTCTCGTCGAAGGCATGGGTGAAGAGGATCAAGAAGATTGTCCCACTCATAACCACCGTGAATTTCGCGCCATTTTCCCGATATGTCTTCCTTAGGAGACATAACTGGAGTGTTGTGCTTGTCCTCAATTTTGAAATTCTCATTAGTATAGTGGAGGCTTTTTTGGGCTGGTGGCTCAACATGTAGATGTAGGAGGTGAGAGAGTGATTCGGCTAGGCGATTGGACCGGCTAGAAGTTTTTCTATGTGGGCGAAAATCGATTGCAGTTTCTTGATTGGCATAAATTTTCCTATGCCCGTTGGTGTTGGCGATGGTAGATGGGAGGTGAGGTTGGATTCCTTTCATGGTGGCCATTTGAGTCCCAAGCAGTTCACTAGGAGAGAGGCTTGGGAGATTTTGGTAGCTGAGAAAGTTGAGGTTGAGAGAGAAGATTCTGAGAGTTCAGTAGGATAGGGAGGCTTCGGATTTTGGTAGCTGAGGAGAGAGAGTTTGGTGGGCGAGTGTCGAGACTGAGAGTATATTTATAAGGCTATGTGCACTTTGAAAAATAGAAAGTTTTGTCCCATAGCCCGGTGGAGATGGAAACATCGAGGCTTGCTCAAAGATGTAAAAAGGTCATGATTCTTTCACAATTTTCCAAATTGCCATTGTGTATGTCTGTAAGTCAAGACAATCTTTTAGGAAGTTAGCTTGTTATAACCTCCATGCAGTAATTAAATTAGGTTTCTATAGCATTGTTCAAGTTCAATTATAATGGAGTATGAATGATTGATATGTTCGACTATTCAATTGATTTTACCAATGAGATAACTTTTCATCAATTTAAAAAAAAAAAAAAAAAAAACCTACCTTATAATCTCCCCAAGTTGTCAGTGGCATTTGCGTAGTTTTGCTTGAGGAGAAGAATAATTTCGTATTCCTATCATCATCAACTCTTCGTCAAGTCTTCTTGTAGTCGTCGATTTCTATCATCATCAACAGTGACTATTCAATTGATTTTTCAACACGCAATCACTAATATTTTTCGCGATCTCATGTTTCACATGGACAACATTTGGAATCTTAAAATGTATTCTTATTATTGTAATAGTCGAGCCTTTCAAAGCGCGTTGGACAAATAAAATAGACACATCCTTAAAAATAAAAGAGTAATTTTTGATAGGTTCAAATTTTAATACTTAAAAAAATAAAATTTAATTTGTTCAAATCGAATTTTAATCGCTTCAAATTTTAATCAAGACAAATTTTAATATATAAAAAATTAAATTTTAATCGACTCGAATTTTATATAGAAAAATTATTTGGGGTTTATGTAAGAGTAATTTTGATATTTTAGATGAATTATTTTTGTTATAAATAATAGTTTAACGGGCAGGAGGTGTCATTGATATTTAAATATAAACTAGAAGGTATTTTTTTATTTTTAAAAATATGATAAATTAGAATAGGTTTGGCTAAAAAATTTTCCATGTTTGCCTCTTTGAAAGGTATTTCTTTATTCCTTTTCATGCATATTTCTTTCTATGACCACTCAAGGTTCATGTAATAAACTGAATAAATAAAGGTAAGCTGGCCCATTTTAAAATTAATCCGTAGGTGGCTGATCAGGACATTCTCTAAGAACCCCGACATCCCATGTGCATGAGTGGTCCCCATACAGGGACGAAAACTGGGGGCAATTTTCGTTGGTTGTGATCGTTGACGCCACCGAATAGTGTTAATATTTGACACGGCACACAATATACACAACAATATGGTAACTAAAAAAAATTTGATTAACACTAGTGTTTGATTCTTTATTTTTAGAACAAATTATTTTGTTCCAACAAAATTAATAAAATAAAGTGACATAATAAAATAAAAATTTTTTATACATATCAAGTTTTAATGAGAGAAAAATAGCAAGAAGTTTTCAGTGTCATAGTTAGATATTAATCTATATTACTTATAAATGTCAGTATCTGTGAAAAAATTTTGATTTTCTTTTTTATCCTTAATTATTATTATTATAAAGTAAATGTCAGCATATTTGCTTTTATCCAATTTTAATATTTTCTATAACTATTAGACTTATAAGTTCTTTTATACTATTTTAATAGTAATATTTGACTTCTAAATTCTTTTGGACTCATTTACTGGTTACTATACTTACATACAATTTCTATATATATATATAATAAATAAAATCAATCTATATTATATTATTATATATGTTGTTGGAAAATTAAATTTTACTATCAACTATTTGTCATATTTAATTTTTTTTTTATATGCAACAATATCATAATATTATGATAATAATAATAATTTATAATTTTATCAAGCTATTAGATAATAAAATATAATTATATATTTAAATATACAATTACTTAAGAATGATAATTTTACAATAAAAACATGTTTAAAGAAGTTGGGAAAATACATAAAAATGACAAATTAAGTGCTCAAACAAGAGCAGAGTAGATCAATAATTAGAATTAGTAATAATTACTAATGAGTCTTTGGTCCAATGATATTTTTTGTCTTATAAAGATCTTGCCTTCTTGAGATCAAGGTTTCAAGTCACCCTCCCATTTTCCTTTCCCCTTCCCCTTCCCCTCCCCCCCATAAAAAAAAGATTTAGTGATAATTAATATAAGATTTTATTATTCGACATACAATATATTATTTAAATAAATTATAAATTTATTTTAATTTTTTTAATAAAAAATTATTATTTAAATATATTCACATGCAATGTACTTCGTGTGCTAATCTATAAAATAAAATAAAGTAGACTTCGATAGCACATCTGACAGTCTAAAATAGACTCATCCAACTACCACATTCTACTCTAACATTTCCCGGCAAATGGTGGGTCAACTGATTGGTAGTCAAAGTAGGCAACAACCACCTAAATGTCTCATGTGAATCTCGTTGTGATTAGAGTTAGAGTAATAGTGTACAAAGTATCCGATTTGTTTTACCGTAAAGTAATTATATTTAATGTGTTGTACTATCTTTCCTCAGTTTAGAATATATGAGTTTCATACACTTGATTAGAATAATACTATATACGAAGATACCACTCTCAATGCGGTTTTTAATCATACAATAATATTGCAAGGGATGGAATTAGAATTTTACCTTGAGGGGACCAACAATAACATATAAAAAAATTTAATTCAATAAGTTTATTCGATTGTCATTGTCAATGATAAATTTTTATTTATAAAAAATTTATTAAATTTAATTTTTATGCAATGGTATTGAAAAATTTATTTTTGAACACGAAACTCAAAAGTGGTTCATGTCATCATAAAAATTCATTTGGGATAATCTCTTCTTTTTTTTTTTTTAATAAATCAAGGTGGCAAATAATAGTTTCATATAATATCATAATAAGAATGAATTATAAGTCAACCAACTGATTTTGTTTCCGTACTTTTTTTTTTTTACAAAAAAAGTCATTTATTTTTTCTCTACATTATCAAAATAATTCAACAAGTATCTTCGTCAGTATAAACGATACTCGTTCATGTGATTACATCTGAAATGGTTACTAAATATTGAGTTATTGATCTTTTTGAATACACTATGGTGAGATATTTACACATTTGGTGTTTTGAAAAATTAGAGGTTAGTAATAAAAATTTTAAAAAATATAGGAGCAATAATGAAAATTTTAAAAATTCGAGGGGGGGGGGGGGGCATGGCCTCCTCATAGTTCTTTCCTTAGATGTTGCATAATAGTAAGATAGTTCTCTTGTAATATGAGCGTTAAGCGTGAAAATCACGAAAACTATATATCTTTGCATGCAGAGATAAATGTTGTGTATATCTACTGCAATAGTAAAAGTCTCGTGTATTGAACTGTCTTTTTCTAAATTTGTATGTGAAGGATTTGAGTCACGACAACAGTTTTTTCAAATACTGAAATAAGGTCGCATATATCTGACCTTCTTCAGATCCTACAATACTGGGTCACTATTTATTTTAATTTTTTTGTTTTAGGATATTTAACTTGCGCCGACTATTCCTTCGAACTCGAATACTGATCATCATAACTCAAGTGAGTTTAAAACATGTTTCTCAAGGAACAAAAGTGACTGACCCTTATAGAATATGAAAAATATTGAATCTGACATTCGAAGTTACTAGTGGACAAACTCAACCACTGAACTATCCTTAAATTTTCTGCACATTATGATTTGTTGTATGTGTAACTTAAATATTGTCAAACAATAAGGTTTAAAGTCTCATATTCTCTTTTCTCTTTCTTTGTCGCATGTGAATTTGTCTCATCGAAACTAGATGGCTAGATCAACAAATAGACGTTTATACTCTTGTAATTGGATTTACATTCCCCCTGATGAGTTGAAAATTATGTTGTTGGTGGATTGTTTTTTGTATGATTATTAATGAAGGGGCAAAGACCCAACCGTTTAAAAAAAATTGATTTTTTTTTAAAATAAACAAATAATCTTATTTGGATTTTAATAAATGGACCAAAGAGACGCGATTGTTGATCTAATAATTTTTTTAAGTAAAATCAGTGGGTATTTAATTTTAATTTTAAAATCCAAATAAATAATGTTTGGTAAATACAACCTCAGTAAAATTGTGGTTGCTAATCCCAACTTCATTCGAAAGTTGTGCTTAGCAAACATGACTTTGACCGAAAAACTATAAAGTTTTGGTTGAATTTTAATAAATTTTTGTTTCGTAAATAAAAGACGTGTCTACTAAACACGTCTAATTCGAGTTATTAGAGAACATATTAAAAGAAAGGTAATTAACAAATAATTAGAAGAGACCCAAACCTACCAAATTTTTCATCTCAACAGATATAGTACACTTATTTTCGTTAAATATGAATTAAGCCCACTTATCAAACAACTGGAGAGAGAGAGAGAGCAGAATCCTAGGTAGCTCTTGACCAAACATTCTCAAAATTGTGTAATTTGGATATTTTTTGACCAAATTTTTAATAGAAATTTGGTTCAGAGTTATTCTAATTATTTTTTTATTCATATTTAAGTATTAGGTCACAAATTTATAATAAAAAATTAAAAAATTATTAATAATCTAAACGTTATTTACTTGAGTGACCACATAGAAATATATTTAATATTTTAAAGACTAAAATAATGTAATTAATATATTGAGAATCAAAATGATACAATTAAAATATTGGAGACCAAAACAAACTTCATAATTTAGGAACCTCTAGTACAATTAACCCTAAAACTTTGTATATATCACTTTTATAAGTGATCAAAAAAATTACTTTTCAATAGTTAAGGCTAACCTCTTATCTATCATTAAGACTTGACTATGGTACTGAAATTCAAATTTTTGGTATTATACTGAAAATTTACCACATTTGATATAACTTTTATCATATTTGTAAGTAGTTTTGTCACTGTTGTGGTACTCAAAAAAATGTAAAAATAGTTATTATAACAGTGACAAAAATATTCACAAATGTGATAAAAACACTTATAAATGTGGTAA